TTTTTTGCATACCTCGAAAAATAGAAGCATTTGGCTTGTAAGACAAGGTCGTCGTTGCGGCCGATCTCTGTTTCAGTTGCAGGGATATCCGGGTGACTGAGGATAATCGCAAGGCCCTTTGCAAACTCGCTATCTGTGTGGAACGGATAGGATCTAAGCTTTTCATATATTTCGATTTCGACCTGCTGAGTTGCTGAAATAGAGTTACCGTGGTCAGCTGCACTGTGTGGTGTCTCCACGGGCAGCTTAGCAGAGAGGTCATTATTGACGACAGGTGGAGTATCCATGAGGGATCAAAGTAGGATTTCACTCCGAAGAGGAAGAAAAAGTGCCAAAAAAAGTTTTCTGTTCTTTCTCCAGTTTCCTTTCTCCTTCAGTGTATGATTGCTGATTGTTGAAGGGAACTGCGATACATAGGCGTTCACAAAATGACGATAAGAATTTGGATTAGCCGAGGCTTAGAGGTATGACATGATGCACACCACCAATTATAACTGCGGTTAGTGATTGAGCACCAACACCCAAGTAAGCAAAATTCATGAATTTATAGTTTTGCTATACGATGCTGTCATATTCTTAGGATAGAACTTCATCAAGACCAAGTTCCATTGAATTATTACCTGTAGTGGGCCTAACGTACATCAAGATATTCACGAATCAACACGTTGAAGGAGAGAAGCCCCCCAACCAAAAAAAAAAAAAACTCTCCCAAACGCCGGGCTATGCAGTGTATCATCCATGAGTATTTAATGAAATCTTCGAGCATGCGATTCGCCTTACACTACGCTGAGGTATCCATTATCTCCAGGCCCAGGCCCGTTTGACTTCCCAGGTCAGCCTTCCTGGGGATTATAGTTTTGCTTTGACAGCCAGGGCAATTGTGCACAACTTCATGGGCAAAGAGGTCACAATCGATACAGAAATGATTCTCGCATGCGGTACATTCGTAGCGGCTGCTTACGCTCGTCCCTTTCACCTGGCTTTCCGTCATTTGCCATTCATCCTTGATAGGTACTGGAGGAAAAGCTATGCCGCAGGCGAAGCATACCGAACTGCGAGAAGCTCGTTGCCAGGGGACCTCTACCCAGTTTATCAGGGGAAACAAATGATGGTACGACCGAGCGAGATGAGTGGACAGAATTAGAGTGAGGCCGCAAGAAGGACACTCTGCAGGAAGACCACAAACTTTGCTGCTACAACGTGAGCACAAATAACCTCCACAGGAAGGCCTTGAATGGCACGCGCAAAGAGAGGGGGAGCCTTCAACAGTGCGAGATGGAAACCCCATCATTAAGAGCGAGCTTGCAGACTGTTTTTGGGAATATGTGGCTGGAGGTGTCGTTACGTCCATTAACAACTCACGGAAATGTTGCTCGTTGAGTGCCACCCCATATCTAGTGTCATCGCCGCCGTTCGTTTTTGCGCAGAGCTCACGGCAGATGGCTACTTGAGCAGCGAGACCTACGATTCCCACGCGCACTTTATCATTGACGAGGGTAGCTATTGTTTGATGAATATCTCCAGGGTCAGATGAAAGAAGAGAACCAAATATGATGAATATCTCTCGAGTACCATGGCTGGGTGTATGACTGTAAAGAGACATGTTAGTTTGCGCCAGATGAAGTCCAACACAAATAATGCCTGCGTGGGCAAGACTCACAATAGCGCGCCACGAGCCATTTCCAGGCCGTTCTGTAAACTTGGAAGACCCTTCGGATCTTGATCTCTTAGGGTTTGTATGGCACTAATATGCTCCGTGGGGTTCCCACTCATATCACTTATTCGGACGGCGAGACCGTCCCTTAATCCAAGGACACCAAGTTGAGAGATCGGATTCTGCTCGAAGAACTCCCGCACAAGCTCTTGTGCATACCGTAGCGTAAGGAGATATCTTGTCGGGCGAAGGTCCTTCTCTGTCATGGATTGTGATAAGTCGACTATCAGGATGAGATGACGAATAATACCACGTTGTAAAGGCGTTGTATCTTTCAGAAGCCTGCGTTGAAAGTGCATTAATGTAATTTGCTCGACCTGCAGTTTCTGGCCGCCTTCCTTCATTCCTCAAGCTTACCTTTTCCTTTTCCCAGCCTCCAGGAGCCCTTCAACTGTCGAGCTAATCGTACCATCAGCGCCTTCGACCAATGTCTCCCAGGTTCTCGAGACCTCCCATTCAGCCCCTCCGCGCTGTTTCCTCCTCTTCACCCGGGATGCAGACTCTTCACCTCGAGACCCTCGAAAAATATTATTATCATCCTCATCCTCAGAAACTTCCCCGATATACTCTTCATCGGAATCAGCCATGGGTTTAATGTGTTGAACGCGGAGGGTTGAATATTCGGGAAATTGGTGCTGTTGTGTATGAGTGGTTTCGGAACAGCCTGCAATTGGAACTAATTTAGTCAACTAATAAATTCTTATTAAGTCGGGAAAGGGTCCAAGCTCCCGGCGGAGCTCCGGGCGTGGTTAATTTTTAGCTTATTGGATATCGTCGGGAACTGATGTAAGACTTAATCGATTCTTTCTTTTTCTCTCTACCTTTCTAAAATTCTCCCCACAAAGCTGCTCTGAGTCTTCAATTCTGAGGTTTATATTAATAATATTACTCATACTACTCCGCGTAATTGGTAGACTTTGCAACTGGTCTAGTTCATTCTGCATATATATGTACTTATTGGCCGAAAGTAGCCGTAAGCAGAGATTAATTTGCCCCTCCGGAAGTTCTAGTAGGTGGTGTTAAACTGGAGGTGGGGGAAAAGGTGTATGGTTGCGTCGACAAAAAGCCACTCCTCAGACAATTTCATCTGTCATCCACCCCGTCGCCCCATCTGGTCAATGCCACTCCGCCCCTCCCCCTCCTCAGTTCCTTCTCGCGTTCCCACTCTCTTTCTTGTCTGCATTCCTGCTTGCAAACTTGTGCGATCAAGCTTGCTATCACCTCAACGTTTGTAAGGTGCTGTTCCTCTGAAACCCACGCAATGGCTGCAAAGGATAGAGAGGTTCTTCCCGATGTGTAAGTCCATTTTGATCCTTGTGTGCTTCAACCGAGAATGTCGTTATCTGTATGGGTTTCTAAGAACGATATTTGACCAGGGTAATAGGGCGAAACCGGTTCACTATGATGTCTCCTTATTTGACATGCAGTTGGGTGACTCTTGGGGCTACAAAGGCATCGTCAAGATAGACTCGAAAATCACCCGCTCCACGAAGGAACTTATATTGAATTCCAAGGAGATCGAGGTCCAGAAAGCTGAGATTTTTGAAAAAGATGGTCCGTCAGGGTGCAACCTATTGAAAAAGCAATTCCTTGATATCAGGCTAAATTACTAACATAGCACACGGCTACTGTAGGGACGAAAGTAACCCAGGCGTCTGAGATAATCTATGACCAGAAGTCAGAGAGAGTGACTTTCAAATTCCCCCAGGAAATCACACCATCGGACGTTGTCCTATCCCTGGCTTTCACGGGTATAATGAACAGCTCCATGGCTGGTTTTTATCGTTCTAAGTACAAGCCTGTTGCGAAACCTAGTCCTGACACCCCAAGGGAAGGTGATTTCCATTTTATGCTGAGCACTCAATTTGAATCCTGTGATGCACGCAGGGCTTTTCCATGTTTTGACGAACCGAATCTGAAAGCTACATTTGATTTTGAAATCGAAGTACCGAAAGGCCAAACAGCTCTAAGCAACATGCCTGTCAAATCTGAGAGAGAAGGCAGTAGCCCTAGTCTGAAAGTAGTTTCTTTCGAGAGAACCCCCGTGATGAGTACTTACGTGAGTCTGTATCTATCTATCATACTAACGCATGTGACTAACCATTCGGATACTATTACAGCTTCTAGCTTGGGCTGTTGGTGACTTTGAATTCGTCGAGGCAATGACCCATCGCAGATACAACGGGAAAAGCATACCTGTGCGCGTCTACACGACGAAAGGTCTCAAGGAGCAAGCCCGATTCGCTTTAGAATGTGCACATCGTACTGTTGACTATTTCTCGGAGGTATTCGAGATTGAGTACCCCCTACCCAAAGCGGACCTCCTTGCTGTTCATGAATTCGTGAGTCTTAGTAACCGCACTTCTTTGGATGCATGTATAGAAATTTACTTTGTTTTTCCAGGCCATGGGAGCTATGGAGAATTGGGGCCTTGTAACATACCGAACGACTGCCGTTCTCTTCGATGAGGGCAAGTCAGATACTCGCTACAAGAACCGCATTGCGTATGTTGTTGCCCACGGTAAGCCATTTTCAGAAGCGCCTGCTATCCTTGAGTTTGTCTAACGAGGGGTATCAGAATTGGCCCATCAATGGTTCGGCAATCTTGTAACTATGGATTGGTGGAACGAACTGTGGCTCAACGAAGGTTTCGCGACCTGGGTTGGATGGCTGGCTGTCGACCACTTTTATCCCGGTATGTTTCTCTCCTTTGACACCAGCGGCGGCTCGTTCTAACGCATGCGGATAGAATGGAACATATGGTCTCAATTTGTCGTACGCAATGCCCGAGGTAAATATAACGTATCTTAGTAGGAATTGACCATTCCGCAGGCTGAAGGAGTACAACAAGCATTCCAACTCGACTCATTACGCGCATCCCACCCAATAGAAGTGCCTGTAAAGAATGCTCTTGAGGTCGACCAGATTTTCGATCACATTAGCTACCTTAAGGGAAGTTCCGTGATTAGGATGCTGAGCGATCATCTTGGTCGGAATACTTTCCTCCGGGGAGTAGCTAGCTACCTCAAGACCCATGCTTACGGTAAGTACTTAATATTGGAGCAGATGGGTGCTTGCTAATTAGGTACGACCTCTAGGTAATGCCACTACCAATGATCTTTGGTCTGCGCTCAGTGAAGCATCCGGTCAAGACGTTAACAGCTTTATGGTAAGCCTCGCAACAAGCCAGGGCCATGATGTTATATCTTTTTATTCTTCTCTAATAAATTGCAAAGGATCCATGGATTCGTAAGATCGGTTTCCCAGTTATAACAGTGACAGAAGAACCTAGCCAGATTTGCATTCGCCAGAACCGATTCCTCTCTACTGGTGATGCAAATCCCGAAGAAGATGAAACAACTTGGTGGATTCCGCTTGGAATCAAATCAGGCTTAAACTTGGAGGAGGTGAATTCTCGCGCTCTTGTTGCCAAGACTGATACTGTCCTAGGCGTCGGCCAGGATTCGTTTTACAAGATCAACAAGGATCTTTCTGGGTTCTACCGGACGAATTACCCGACTGACCGGCTGGCAAAGCTTGGTAAATCTCTAGAACTACTGAGCACTGAAGACAAGATCGGGTTGATTGGTGATGCCGCTGCTCTTGCTGTGTCTGGTGAAGGCACCACTGCTGCTCTGTTAGCCCTTCTTGAAGGCTTCAGTGAGGAGCAGAATTATTTGTCAGTACCCAGTGCCTTCCCAGTATGTTTGCCCAGATCTATACACTGGTTCTAATTAATTTTTTAGGGTGTGGTCACAAATTTCTTCCTCGCTTACAAATCTTCGCTCAGTATTTTCTCAGAATGAGCCTGTAGCTGCCGGACTGAAGGAATTTGCTCTTAAGTTGGCATCACCTGCTGCCCATCGACTTGGTTGGGAGTTCAAGCCAGGCGAAGAATATCTTACTGTTCAGTTACGAAAACTTCTTATCGGAATGGCCGGCCTTGCAGGTGATGAGACGTAAGCCTTGCCCCATCTCTCCAATTCTTCTTCCTTAGTTTTACTAACACCGTAACACAGGGTTATTGCAGAAGCCAAAAGACGTTTCGGGCTTTGGGCTACAGGCCAAGATAAGAACGCAATTCACACGAATCTGCGTTCAGTCATCTTCGGCATCAACGTCTCGGAGGGCGGCTCCAACGAATATGCCTCTGTCAAAGAAGAGTATCTCAAGACGGACTCTGTTGATGGAAAAGAAATCTGCCTAGCAGCCCTTGGACGCACCAAAGATGCTGGACTGGTCCAGGATTACCTAGACTTTGTATTCTCGGACAAAGTGGCAATCCAAGACGTACACAATGGCGCAGTCTCATTGGCTGCGAACTCAAAGGTCCGGCGTCTACTCTGGGAGTATATGAAGGACAACTGGGGTACCGTTGAGGCTCGCCTGTCGGCAAATAACGTCGTCTTTGAGCGCTTTGTGCGAATGGGCCTTTCTAAGTTTGCAGACCAAAACATTGGGGAGGACATTACTTCGTTCTTCCAGCACAAGGATACAAGTGCCTATGATCGTGCGCTAGTTATTGTTGCGGATAGCATTCGGACCAATGCACGCTATAAGTACAGAGATGAGAAATCAGTTCTGGATTGGCTCCAGGCTCATGGCTATGCCTGATTGTCGAGGAATAAAGCGGTCTGTTGCCAACTTACCGTGTGAAGATGGACCAGGATATCATCATTATATTATACTGGGCCTATGCTTCTGATCTTAACTAGTTTACTTGAAACTATATGTCTTTGGTTTTCTTTTTGTTTTTCTTCACCAACTCATGGGCTAGCCATTCATAAGACTTGGGCGGAAGACCTAGATCTAGAAAATTAAAGGAAGAATACGTTGCCTCAGTGCGCTAGTACAGAAAGGGAATGCGGAATCATTAAATCGGTCCGGGGGCACCTGGCAGTATCAGAAGATGCCCAGGATTGGGTAGGTAAGTTCCCCCATGTAGTTACTATATCTGTATGAACTTGCAAGAGGGAACAATAATGAACAAAAGTGAAAAATTAGTGGCAGTGAAACCGTCCTTGCTTGTTTTCAATAGCGATACCACGCACAATAGCTGGCGTTGTGAAAGCAGAAGTACGAGTTTCGAAGCAGAAGCCAGTAAGGTAAAGTGGAAGAGCCAGCATACCAAAATATCATAGTATTAAGAGGAACAGCAAGAATCCAGACAGATTATTTAAGAGAAAGTTTATCATTTGATTGGAGCAACTAGACCGAAACGGGTCTTGTGTCTGGGGCGCGGCGAAACGTGAAACGGTCACAAACCAAGGGGACCTGCACGCTGGGCTCGTCTGCTCTCCTGCACTACTCAGCAACTCGCAACCGCCATTTCAAAAGACGACGGCCGACTTCATCGAACTTAACACACCTAGGCAACGCTTTTCTCTCTCTCTCTGCCGCTACCGCTGCTTGATCTTTCGCCTGATAGACGACTTCTGTTTCTTTCCTCTTTTCTTTCGTCTCCCTTCCTTGAAGAGCCTTTCATTTGTCAACAGTTCTCCCTACACCGTCCATCATGAACCCTGAGTGGTAAGTCTTCTATTAGCCTACATATTGATGCATCCTCTTGAGGCCTTGGGTATTGCACTCTGTCTGCATTATAATGGTCTCTTCTCCCTGCGTCTCTCCCCCTTTATTTTCTCAACTTCGCTGATTTGTTGGGCAATAACTAGAGTACCTACCATCCTCTTTGGTGCAAACCAACAGACGGCCTACTTCTCATTTCCTGTTATCCTAACCATCTACTTAGATACGACTATCTTTTCAAGCTCCTTCTTATCGGAGATTCCGGTGTCGGAAAATCATGCTTGCTACTTCGGTTTGCAGACGACACCTACACAGAGAGCTATATCTCCACTATTGGTGTTGATTTCGTGCGTATACCGTTGTTCGGGCAACCGCACCCCTTGTAGTGGTGCTGACTTCTAGATAACAGAAAATCCGAACAATCGAACTTGATGGCAAGACAGTGAAACTTCAGATTGTAGGGAGAAATGCCACCACAGATGAATACTCTTACGTAGCTAACAGGATCTTTAGTGGGACACTGCGGGCCAGGAGCGGTTCCGCACCATTACTTCGTCTTACTATCGAGGTGCTCATGGTATCTGCGTCGTGTATGATGTTACTGACATGGATTCCTTCAACAATGTGAAGCAGTGGCTCCAGGAGATCGATCGCTATGCCACCGAGGGTGTCAACAAGCTGCTTGTGGGTAACAAGAGTGATATGGAGGATAAAAAGGTCGTGGAGTACACGGTGGCAAAGGTGTGCACCTATCTTTACCTCCTCCCCTATACCTTTTGGAACGGACAATTTTTCCCTTTCCGCAGTCGGAACGGAGGCTAATTCTTTATGTTGTTTGAAATCAAAAGGAGTTCGCCGATAGCCTTGGAATACCGTTCCTGGAGACCTCTGCTAAGAATGCCTCGAACGTCGAGCAAGCCTTCTTGACAATGGCAAGGCAGATTAAGGAGCGTATGGGTACCGCCACTGTCAACAACAAGCCGACTGTGCAGGTTGGCCAGGGCCAGGGTGTCCAGTCTGGGTCTGGAGGCGGTTGCTGCTAATTGAGCCACTGAGTCGTGTTGCACAGTACTACGTTAGCCACCTCGGTATGAAGCAGGGAGGTGTGCTTGCCAACTGCGCCTTGGCACTGAACAGCTCTAACTGAAATGTGAAATGGCGCAGATGGCATTGCGGAAATTTTTGCTATTTTCAAGCTCGAGATGATTATTGGGAATCATTTCAAATCCTTCACAATGCTTTAGACGGCCTGCGATTGTCTTTATATGTGCTCATATTACTGGTACCCTTGTTGCCCCTTCCCCACCCACCCCCCTTCTTTGTTACACGCTGCTCGTTTTGTGATTTCTTTTACAGCATTTCACTATTAGTTTCTTCCATATCTTATTAGTAGGTTGGATTCCTTGCGATTTTGTCAGGAACAAATTAATGGAAAAGACCCTGAATGTTCGGAGAACATGCTTATTGGGTGATAGCTAGCATAAACCCCAGCAATTCTCTGGAAGTAAATTTAATTTTAGTCTTCGTCTAGTAAGCCCCATCTGATATAACATAGCCAGCTGATACGATGATTAAGAAGCATCATCTATATACAAGACCTTGGGAGTCGTTTTGGCCTTCTCTATCGACCTCAGATATCTCGATCGATACGTTGCCAGTATTCTAATCAAACAGAAATAGCTATAGATTCTTTTTGGGGGTTGGGGGCTCTTTTCCTTCGACCCTCCCATGGTTCAGGTCACTCCGTGAATGAAAATGATGATTATTATTGATGTTCCTGTCAGCTGGCGCGAAGACCACGGGGGTAAATGATCATATGATAGTTCATTGGGAAGAGCATGTCACATGCATGTAAAGGAAGATCCCACACTCGGCGAACATTGGCGGCTAAATGTAGTCTGTATGTACAGAGACGAATTAACCAGATTTATTTGTAGAATTAATTGGAAGACTGGACCTCGGTCTTATTTAACTCTCACATAAATTCATAGTGCAAGTGTTTAAGAGAGGTGGGTAGGGGCGGGAGTGCTTGACAGCCTTATAGATGTG